CACGAGAGACTCATCGTAACGTTACCGAGCGTTACACTTTTTCATAAGTGACTCCCAGCCGCAACCTAATTTAAGACGTTGTCACGTCAAAAACAAACGTGTCCTGGAACACTCAATTGGAACGAGGCTTAAAATAAACAGAAGTATAAGTAAAGTAGGTACCCAACTACGCACAATACGCAGACGATTGTGACGGAAAAGTCTTACGTTACGTAACGCGTTACGGCGCCAGTCTGTCTGGCTTCCCTTCGCCGCCAGTCTGCCTTGATTCCCTTCGTCGCGAAAGGAATTAGACGCCACAGCCCGCCCTGATACCAGAGCGGTGTCCCCAGACCCACTTCACCCACCAATCCCCTTATCACCCGAATCTCTTTCACCCTCCAATACTCTTTTTCACCACCATGTTGTCGAAGTTTCCTCCCATTCGCACGAAGCGATTTGCTTCCGCTTTCATTATGCGAACGGCTAGAGAGTGGAACTCCTTGCCGAGGTTTGTTTTCCCGGACCAATATAATCTGTACATCTTCAAGGCCAGAGTGAACAGGCATCTTCTAGGCAGGCGTGTACCAACCAAGCCCTCATCATCGCTTTCCATCAGGCGAGATTGTGGTCAAACGCCTTGCCTATTAAACATTAAAAAGAAAAGAATCCCTTTTCAGCCTCGAATCCCCTTTTCATCAATCTCCTGTGCTCAAAAAAGGGATAGTTTAAGTTATCACTTCTGTCGTGCGTCACGAGACGCACACGCTTTTATTTTCGCCTCACCTTCATTCGAGGAGCTCGATGGCGCAGGTGGTTAGCGCGTTCGGCTACGATCGTTGAACTTAAGCAACTTTCACAGTGGTCGGTCATTGGATTGGTGACCGAAAAATCTTCTATCTCGAGTTCCTCCGTGCTTCGGAAGGCACTTCGGAAGCCGTTGGTCCCGGCTGCATCTGCAGTCGTTAGCATCCGCCAATCCGCACTGGGCCCGCGTGGTGGGTCATGGCCCAATCTCCCTATACCATCTATAGAGAAGGACTGTGCCCCAGCAGTGGGGACATTAATAGGCTGATGATGAACCTTCATTCAAATTCCTACCGTTCGAAAAGGAAATTCGTTCCAATAAATACAAAGGTTTTCGTCGTACATCCTCTGCTATACTATGCAATTTCTATTTCAATTCTAAAGTACCATACTATAACCCCCATCCCGTACTCTATGGAACCCTAAAATCTTACACACAGACATACAATCAAAAGTACCAAAATGTATATATTATTTCACTGTGGTCTTCCTTAAAAATGTAGTCCTGTGTTCAGACCCGTCTTTCCCAGTGGGCACACACAGAGCCCCGCGATCGATAGGGGCCTCCCTCAGATTAAATACAAAGTTCCTAGTTCCTGTTAAATCACCAAACGAAAGTCATAGGAGCCCCATTATTCTAATATGCCCAGGGCCTCCAATAGGTCGAAGACGGCACTGCCTGTTCTTTTTTGAACCTATATAATAAAGAAATAAGTCAGAAAGCGTTACTTGTTTAATTAAACAGAATAAAACAAGATATGTTATTAGAGCTAACAAGGCATGTAATTGGGGTGAACTTTGTTAATTGTACATCATTAATGCAGAGGTTGCGGACCGGCCTCTCCCTGGATAGCTGCCAAAAATGAGTTTACTTATTATAATAACATAATATTATACATTAACTGAGTGCGATTGTAACAATGTTACAGACAGCAATAACATGCGTCTGTTGTAGTCATTGTGACAATATCGTTTGTGGGCTGTTAATGGCTGTTTTTATTATGTTTCGAGATTACTCAGATTTTAGTAACTGTCGCTTGTTAAAGGATTTTTTTATTAAACTACTTTTAAAAGCAGGTTTTGTGTTTGTTACACAATTATTCTGCTAAATATCCAATGAATAGATTTTGAAGATAATTATTTATTTTTTATCAGTTTTCTTTCACCTATCTTACGACCTCCGAAGCTTACTCTAGAGGTCCTGGGTTCGAATCCTGGCAGGGGCAGATGTTTGTGTGATGAATACGAGCATTTGTATTCCAGTCACGGATGTTTAATCTTCTAATATATAAAATTCTCGTGTCACGGTGTGTGTTATTGAACTACTCCGAAACGGCTCGACCGATTTTCGTGAAATTTTATATACATATTCAGTAGGTCGGAGAATCGGACAACATCTATTTGGCATCCCCCTAAATGTTAAGGGTGGTCCACCATTTTTTTTTATTTTCTTGTTTATAAGACATCATAAAAAAATACATACAACCCAAAATTTTCACCCTTCTACCACTAACCCCTATTTTTTATGGCGGTACGAAGTTCGCTGAGACAGCTAGTATTCATATAAATTTGGCGAAGGATCGGAAGTTCCATTTATTTCTCTAAAAATTATAAGTAAGAACTTTCGCAGATAATTAATAGAACGGTCAGTGCATCCGCCCGGATAGCGAAGGGTGCAAGTTCGAGTCCCGTCTGCTGCCTGGTTCGCGTGAATTTTTTTCTAGTAAAATTCCTTAAAGCAAGCCATACATGCTAGGATATACCTGACAGGTTTATAGTTTAACTGCACAGGTAAACTTGAGTTTAGTGGAGACCATACACGTAGTAGTAAACCTGCACAAACTTTCAGCTGAAACCATGACCCCGATGGCTCTAACAATCACCGGACAACTGACGCCTGCGCAGACGACCGCCACACACACTCAGTTTTACCTGCACAGTTAAACTGCACAGGTAGAAAACATCAAAATTCATATCTTTTCGAGTTGCCTGTACAGGCGTGAAAACCTGCGCAGTTATGTGACATACACGCTCCGGTTTACCTGTACAGTTAAACTGTACAGGTAAGTCTGTCAGGTAAACCCTAGCGTGTATGGCTTGCTTTACATTCAAACTTATAGCAGTTGTAAATGCGTAAAAAATAAAAATATAGTCATATTCATAATTAAAGATTTATATTTTACCTTAAGCATTTAACTACTTAATGTTTCAATCTAAAGAAAATAGGAAATTTTCTACTTATATTTTCTTTATATTAAAACGTTATACTAATTGAAATTAAATTGTGGCTTTTTTTCTTTGAATTTCCTAATGATTCCTTCAATTTATCTTCTATTACGTTCGCGAAGTTTCTGAGTTTAATTTAATGTAAATCGCAGTGGATTATGTATTAACATAATTTTTACACAGAAGATAGGAGGCCATATCGAATTTTCTGTGAATTTTTCCTGTCCGCGATTAGTACAAAATAATTTGAATATACCCCTGGTGAAACGGGAGTGGCGTATAACGATGTTTTAATAGATACCTGACCAATGCTTTCTCAAAAGCTTGATAAATTTAGATCTTCATTATGTTTCACTTAGTTTAATACTTGAGTTATGTCATAAGCATAATAGGGATGATGATAGGGCCAACGAAATTATATTTGGTGTGTCAGTTGGAGAATCATAAAATAATGGATTTTTTTCTTTTATCAAACAACAAAAAAAGTGTAAAGTTAAAGCGCGTCAAAGTTTGGGTAGGGGCGTCGTGACGTAACTTCTAAGTAAAACTTGTACCAAGACATGACGTTCAAACTAGTTTTATTTAATGACGTTCAAATCAATATTTATCTCTGTAATGATTTGATTATTGTGACAAAGATAAGATACGTGTCGAATACTTATTAATTATCTACCTTTTTTCTTACTCACACCAATTAGCCTAGCCCCAAAGTAAGCACTGTAGGCTTGTGTAATGAGATGATAAGGTAACGGATAGAATACATATACTGATACATATATAAGTATATTTATATAGAAATACATATTAAACATCCATGACTGGAGTACAAATGCTCGTATTCATCACAAAAACATTTGCCCCCACCGGGATTCGAACCCGGAACCTCTCGAGTTGGCGACACCTTGAAACCCGTACAAACCCGAGTGGTTTGTGGCCAAGGAGGTCGTCTTAAGACAATGAAACTAATATTTACAACTTCCCAATTATAATCATCTACAACTCACTTTAATTTACAGTATGAAATTAGTTATGAGAATATTATTATGCCGATAAAGTGTTTATATTATTAACCTTCCTACCTAGGTAAGTGGTTACCAAAAAAATTAAAAATATAAAATCTGGTCAGAAACAATATGAATCTTAATTCTTTCTCAGACTTTTTACTAGCGATCGCCCACGACTTGGTCCGCGTAAATTATATCTGGAGAATCCCTCAGGAACCATGAACTCTAGAACTATAAATCGATGAACACCGGTTGCGCGCACGGAAAAGTGTGACATCATGTCACGTTGTCACGAGTTAGTCAAAGTTCCGAGGTGTGTGTGAGGTGAGGTCGAGGGGTTCTTCTGACCCAACCCCCCTTCAGAGCACCCCCTAACCACGCTGAACACTTGACCCACCTGACACATCCCTCGCCTGACCCACCTGACCACCCTAACCCCCAGCACCCACCTCACCTGATTACAAACATTAGCTACCTACTAATTACATGAATGTAACAAACATTTATAGGCTGACTAGCTGACCCAGCGAACTTCGTACCGCCATAAAAATAGGGGCAGTTGGTAGAAAAGAAAATTTAGGTTTGTTTATATTTTTTAATACCACATTATAAAAAAATAAATAGTGTCCAAAAAAGTTTTTAGGGGTGTGTAAGGTAGTGTTCTATCAATTTTCTGGGAAAGCATTCCTCCTAACCCATATGAGAACACTACGTTACAATACCCAATAGTTTGAATTTTGACGCAAAGGGGCATTGTAGGTTTCAGAACACTATGTTACAGGTGAACAACCATTATCGCTTAAGGATATTAAAAATAGATAGTAGCCGATTCTCAGACCCACGGAATATGCATATAAAATTTCATGAAAACATTGCGACACGAGAATTTTATATATAAGATGATGATATCTTTTTGACAGACTTCAAAAAGGTGGAAGTTATAAATTCATCAGGATATTTGTTCATAATACTTTTATTTGACAGATGACGGAGGGCGCTGCTTGCCAGCATTCGCCGGTCGGAAGCTGGGAGAGATGTGCAACAGGGAGAACCAATGCGACGCCGGCCTTATCTGCGAGGAGGTTGTACCAGGTCAGTTAATTATTACCAGAAGCTGCATAAACGAACCAACTTAAGTGCGGCCAACGCAAAACTGCGATCCTGGCAGGTAGAGTTAGTCCCTTTAAACTTTAAATTCATGCGGGCTATTTAAACTTTACGGCTCTATATATACGTCATTTCGCGAAGTTAATGTATGGTTAAACTTTTTAATACAAAAGTAGGCTATAACTATTACAAAAAACGGCTTTATAGTACCGTGGGTAGCGCGCCTCGATCGGGGCGTGCGGTGATCGACCGTGCGGTATTTTTCGAGCGCGCCCCGATCGGGGCGTGTGGTCTTTATTGAGAACAGAAAAGAAAGAAAAAAAGACCTTTGAAGCAGACGTAGCTAGAAGAACATTAAATATGCAAAACGAAGAAATACATTTTGAAACTCCGCTAGGTAATCATTTTGAAAGATAAAGGTACAACCGTAGATTAAAACAAAAACCCTTTTTTTTAATCTAAGGGTACAACTTATTAACTCGAGCTCATCCGTGCTTCGGAAGGCACGTTAAGGCGTTAAAGCTGCATCAGCAGTCGTTAGCACCCACCAATCCGCACTGGGCCCGCATGGTAGATAACGCTCCAGCCTCCCTATTCCACCCATAGGGAATACCTGTGCCCAGTGCCGTCTTTGACCTATTGGAGGCCCTGGGCATATTAGGATAATGGGGCCCCTATGACCCCCGTTTGGTGATCTAACAAGAACTAGGGACTTTGTATTTGTGATCTGAGGTGCCCACCTATCGATCACGGGGCCCTGGGCACTTGCCCAAAGTGCCCACTGGGAAAGACGGCTGCCTGTGCCCCAGCACTGGGGACATTAGTAGGCTGGTGACGATGAGATACTATTCACGTGAAAAAAAAACTATGAATAACACGTTCTATGAAGAACGTAGAGCTTTTCAAGTGAAAACTCGAACATTGAGGACAGCATATTGCGTTACGTTACGGTAACAACACCCTTTAGGAACGCCTAAAACATTCAAATAGCAACGTAAATCTCCAACAGATTCAACCCGCATAAATATTAATAAGGCACTAAGGGTTCTGCTGCCTGCCGCGAGGGTACTGTTTGAATGAATAAATACGTAAACACACGTACTTAACTACGTTATTTATTACGATATTCCACGTTTTACATGAGAAATTCCCGAAATAAAGTACCTACTTACGTATTGATTCCTGATTAATTAACTACCTACTATTAGTCTTATAATAAACTAGTGGCCCGCCCTCGCTTCGCTTCGGTGTAAAGCTGTAGTGTAGACTATAGTTTTTGTTCTCAGGCTTGTATTATACACAATGACATTCTTCTAATACCCAATTACAATAGGCACGCGCCGCCAAGCCCGGTAGCGTCGGAACCGCTATGTCCCTGAATTTTAAATTTGGAATATCTTCCAAAATATTCATTTAAATTATATGCGTTAAAGGGCCAAATTGTTCTATATTAAATGCACAATGTATTTAAGGTACTTAATTGGATAAGGATGAATGTTATATTGCTTAAAATCGCTTCGTAAATAATCTATTATTTCTCGTAAAAAGTATAGGATAAAAATTGGTTATTGTGGATTATCCTTAAGAGATAGACATATACCATCGCGGATTTTTTTGTAGACCTTTTTAAGGTGTACAATACTGTAGTACATTATTTTGATCTATCTCGTGGGGTTCAGCCAGCGTTTGCAATGTAAGCGCAAAAAATGTGTTTATTTACGACCTTACATTAAAAACCTCTAAAATGATCAGTGTTTCTCTACTATATTATGCATGTATTATACATATAAACCTTCCTCTTGAATCACTCTATCTATTAAAAACTGCATCAAAATCCGTTGCGTAGTTTCAAAGATTTAAACATACAAAGGGACATGGGGACTGAGAAAGCGACTTTGTTTTATACTATGTAGTGATTACAACTCTGAAGAGGTTCACTATTTTATTTTATCACCAACTAGGATGACGATCGCAGCATAAGTTACTCGAACTAAGGTGGAGCGCTCTTTTTTAACTCTCCACCTCCACACATTTGTCACTTTTCATAGATTATCGTCTTTATGCAGCTTGTCTATGAACGGTATCATAGCCAATACTTCATAAACGTGCACACACCATCCCATAAGATTCGCAAGGCCAATGTCACCATACAGCCAACACGGCATACAGCCTACGTTCATGCAACCACCTTGAATACGAAATATCAATCGACATTACATCGATTGATCATTCAGATATCAAACTCCGCTACACAGGAAGTGTTTCCGCATACTGACAAGTGTTAATTAAATTATAGAAAATGGCAACATTGGCATAACGTCACATACGGAATGTTAAGTCATCAAAACATACTAGCGTTAGAAAAATAACATATTTTGCTTAACTAAAGTGGAATTTAATAATTTAATTAACACTACAGTTGGATGCTTTAATTCGGGTTCCATTTTATTGAAAGGTGCTTTGAACATTCGCAGTACATTAAGGTCGAAATCTCCAGACGAATATAGGGTGGATGGATTCAAAGGTATCGTGCGTGATGTGTGATGTGTGCCTTCGATCAAGAATTGGTTGATTTGAATTTGAACAAATTGATCGAAGGTGATGGCTGTCTATAAAAGGGACAAGCTCCCATGTTTTTACCCCAATAAGTTTTTTTTTATATTTTTAAAGTGTATTATAACGTCTTTATTCTCGTGTAGGTACTTAGCCTATAATAATCCAATCTATGTACCTATCCTAAAATAATGAAACCCAATCTAAATATTATTCAAAGTAAAATCAACTCGCTCCCTGCACAGGTTTTGGGAACGGAATAAAAAAGAATGATTCGGCAAAATACGGTAAATAATTGGATGACACACATATTTTATTATATTAATAGTTATAAGATATATACCTACATACTTTTTACAGATATTCTATCTATTTATAGGCGTGTGCCCCATTAGTGGGGACATTAATAGCACATGAGTAAAGAAATCATGGGCTCCAGCAGTGGGGACATTAATGCGTGTGTTGAGCTGTTTTTTTAGGGTTCCGTAGCCAAATGGCAAAAAACGGAACCGTTATAGATTCGCAATGTCCGTCAATCTGTCCGTCCGTATGTCACAGCCACTTTTTTCTGAAACTATAAGAACTACACTGTTAAAACTTGGTAAGTAGATGTATTCTGTGAATCGCATTAAGATTTTCACACAAAAATAGAAAAAAAACAAGAAATTTTTGGGGACCCCATACTTAGAACAGAAACTCAAAAAAAATTTTTTATCAAATCCATACGTGTGTGATATCTATGGATAGGTCTTCAGAAAATTAATAATTTTTAATATTTTTTTTTTCTGAACTGAATAGTTTGCGCGAGAGACACTTCCAAAGTGGTAAAATGTCCCCCCCCCCCCTGTAACTTCTAAAATAAGACTCTGGTAAAACTTAAAAAAATATATGATTTACATTACCATGCAAACTTCCACCGAAAATTAGTTTGAACGAGATCTAGTAAGTAGTTTTTTTTTAATACGTCATATCTCCGTCAAATCAATTAAGAAAAATATACTATTATTAAAACATTGTTCGAAGTTACAAAAAACTACAAGAACTTTTATATTATGTTACTTATTTGTTTCTTAGGTTTTTACGCACATCACTCATTAAATAAAACTAGTTTTTCACGGGTTAACGCACGAAACTTTATTTAAACGTCAATAAATAAATAAAGTTTCGTCAATTAACAAATGAAAAACTAGTTTTATTATGTTACTTGCTGCTACGGAACCCTCCATGGGCGAGTCCGACTAGCACTTGGCCGCTTTTTTAAATTCTGTTCACTCACACTCGCGTTCTGCATGAAGCTTTGCCTCTGTCCCTTCTTTACTCAAGTGCTTTTAATGTCCCAACTGTTGGGACAGACCATCCCTATAGATAGCATAAAGAGAACTGGCCATAACCGACCGCAGATGCAGCCGGAAACAACGACTTAACGTGCAATAGCGGAAGCCTTATCCTACCTGACGACGGTCCCATGCTCAGATGTGGTCATACTTTCCGATTCGAAGAGTTCGCTACAGCATATTGCTCGATGGAATGAACATTTTGATGAACAATCCTTTAAGTAAAACAATATGGTATGGTAGAAAACAATACAATCAATTTTACCCAATATCCTCTGGTTTGCGGATTTGGGAAGGGATACCATAGTACTGGCACACAGACTCCGATCTGGTCACATACCTATACATAGCTTTGGTTATTTGATGAGAAAAGTGAACTCTCCAAATTGTACTGATTGTGATCAGATCGAGGATATGTGGCATGTGATGGCTGAATGAACGAGGGTTGTAGCGGAAAGATACCACTCTTTTAACCCATTCCCGGAGCAATAGATGTTCAAAAAAAACGGCTTAACGTGACTCCCGCTTTGCAGAGGAGCTCGCGATGGTAAATTTGTCGCCACTCATGCTTTAGCTGGTCGTTGCTTAACTTCCTAAATCGCAGTACGAACGCGCTAACCACCTCCACCAACGAGGTCCTCAAACAAGAAAAACAACAATATTTCTAAAAATATATCTATGTGCGGCCTTAACGGACCGCTCAATCTTCTTTGTCCCTATGGCCTCTTTCGTGTTTCCTCCTTTCCGTATATGGCCAGTGTAACACAAATGACTATTCATGACCTCATCTATATGGGGTCAGAACTGAAAATCAGCGATTTACTCTCTGAGTTAATGTTTTGCTGAGTTTTACCCATTCTCATCGCTGCTGCAAACGAAAAGATCATAATATAGTTGTTTAAATATAATTTGTTGACCGTTTTAAGGGATTGATCTAATTATAAGATTTATATTGTCAAATATTATTTGTGCGTAAAGTCTTATCTATATATATATATATACATAAAACTCAAAGGTGACTGACTGACATAGTGATCTATCAACGCACAGCCCAAACCACTGGACGTATCGGGCTGAAATTTGGCATGCAGATAGATGTTATGACGTAGGCATCCACTAAGAAAGGATTTTGATCAATTCTACCTCCAAGGGGATAAAATAGGGAATGAAAGTTTGTATGAAACTTTGTTAATTTTAAACTGATCGGACTGAGACTTTGCATGCAGGTATAAGAAGAATTATAGATGAATGTCATTGTGTATAATACAAGTCTGAGAACAAAAACTGTAGCCTACACTTCAGCTCTACACCGAAGCGAAGCGAGGGCGGGCCGCTAGTCTATCCATAATTATGATGATATTGATGACTGTTGTTGGCAGGTGAAATGCGCATCTGCCGTGCACCGACTGCGGGCCATAAGCAATACAACGAGGACTGCAACGCCTCTAGTGAGTGCGACATCACGCGCGGACTGTGCTGCATCGTGCAACGCCGCCACCGACAGAAGCCGAGGAAGGTAATTCAAATTCCGAATCATTTGATTTCTATTAAAAATATAGAGCGACATGGCGGACGCGGTCAGGAGGGGAGTGCACAGCTTTTCCCTCTATTAAATTAAGCATACAATATAAGGGAAATAAGGGAGGATTTGGCGGTGAATTGTGTCATTTTTTATATGTGACTGTCGTTATTACAATTTTGTTTTTTACGCATGTACGTTGTACTCAACCCCCCCCCCCCTCCCCCCCCCCCCCCCCCCGCAAAAAAATGATCTGAATAGTATATATTATTTCAATAGATATGGCTACTCCTTTCTGTGTTACTCTTTGGTTAAAAGGGTGGTAAGCAAGTATATGGCTCGTCTGATAGTAAATGCGCGCCATTGCCGCATAGCATGAAATAAATTCGTGCAGCTAAACAAAAAAATAAATAAAAATGTATAAAAAATCTTTTATTTTATATCCACCTTTTATTGCTTGTTAATAAAAAGAACTAAAAAGTTAAAAATAATTTAAGTCTTATCTATACAAATAATAAAATGGTAGGAAAGTCAAAACTGTACATTGAATATTTTTTTAAAAGAATACTTGGGATGTGATCTAAAATTGATACCGAAGCCAAAAATATAGTTTTTAGAATTTTTGTCTGTTTGTCTGTATGTATGTCAGGGATAAACTCAAAAAGTACTGCATGGATTTACTTCAAATTTGGCACGAATATTATAAAGAAGTCGGGTCAACATATAGGCTACATATTATTACGCTATCACCTACGGGGAACGAGCAGTGAACAGGGGTCAAAAAGTATGTGCAAATAACTACAATAAGCGTACGAAGTCGCGGGCGGCCGCTAGTAAGAAATAAACCCATTTTCAGGTACATTACATCCCATTTTTTTAATAAAAGCGCATTACACTCTTTTCTTTTCTCTTGCCAACAAAATGTAACACGCTTTTATTTAAAAAAAAACAACAAACACAAGTAAAATGACAAAATTATACAGGACTAGAGGTAGGCTTTTCAGCTTTCTCTCGCGACTTGGTCACTATAGTTTCACAACGGTGCTATTTTTCAAATATTACTCAACGTTGAACTCGTCTGCGAGAACGCTTCCGAAATCAACACATTTGTTTTTTTTTACCTCATATTCTTTTCAAAAGCTTTTATTTAATTTGCAATGTATGTATGTTCGGGTCAAATCTTGCAACTTATGTAAAGTATATTCAAGCGACTGAGAAATTATATTTGCATACACACTTAGTTTGGATTACTGTTAAAAAAGATTGCTCAGCTTCCATACATGTTTGGCCTAAAGACCAATAATCATGAAAAATTGTTTCCTAGATTCGAAATTATATAAAAATTACCTACTGTAGAAACGAATATTATTGACAGATACCCCTGAGAACTTCTATAAACCATATACACTGAACATATTAAAATAATAAAAAACAAATAAGTTATATAGTAAACTAGGGAAATCAAGCCAAGTACCGAAATTATGGATTAGATTCAGGTATATAGAGCATGTAGATTAAAACAGATAGTTGCCTGTTTTTAAAGTAAATGCATAAGAGTAACTTTTAAAATCAGGTGTCATTTCCGGTTATAATAAGGTACTCTGTGACAGAAACTGTGTGATGATTGTGAATGAGAGAATTTTTAAACTCTCGTTAACCAAAGAAAGCTAAGAGATTTAGGTTCTATAGCCATATTAGTATTTATATTCAGGAGCTTCATTATTTTTGTTATGTTTTTAAGATAACCATATTTTAGATTTTTAATATATCACACCTTATAATTTTAATATTTATTAATTTATAGTCAGGGAACGTAGGCCCACAGATAGATACCTTAAAGTCTAACATAAATACAGATTATAATGTGTTTATGGAGGTGTTTGCGAAAAATGTATGGCAATAGACTTTATGATGTCGCCTACCATCTATAATAATTGAGCACATTTGCATCTAGTGAAAATGATAATATAGTTGTGGATATTAATACCACAGTGTAATAAAAAAAAAGATTTATTTTATCGATCTTTACAAAATAGATTTGTTTTCATGTTATATAAACAACTTCGATCAGTCTTTAGCTGAATGTTACCACACCCAAAGGCATTAAAAATGATTCGTATGTTTTCCAAACCGGTAAAATTAAAAGTCCTTTTTAAAGTAAATATATTAAACAAAGGTGTCCGTTGAAATCTAATGACTGTAAATTAAATTATAAATTACGCCAAGAATTACCGTGTATGTCAATATTTTTTGTGCATTTGGGCCAATTTGAGCAATATCCTTTGCCATTCGATACCCAATAACTATAAATATTACGGAGCTAATACTAAGACGACAAAATTGTCTCAAATTTCATTCCTTTACTTTAATATCAATTTGGCTCATTCACACGAAAGTGCTCAGGATCACAATTTCAATTAATCCCATCGTAATTTGGCAAACAATACGTAACTTAATCCTCTAATTAGATGTTGTGCAAACTAGATGTGTTTTAACCTATTCTGTATACTACGTGCCGTGCCATTGTCTAGCTACATTGTATAACAATTTGATTTACTTTCTAATTCTATTCCTAATACTCTTCCATAGTTCGTAAGCCAACTTAAGTCGAAAGTCCGGGCTGCATTGGTTTCAGTGCACGCCCGTACTTTGGTCATTTTTTGGTAGAATGATGATGATGATAGTGATGATAATTGACGTTTTTGTTGCAGAGCTGTGGATACTTCAAAGAACCTCTAGTCTGTATCGGTCCTGTGGCCACAGACCAAATACGCGAATTCGTACAGCACACAGCTGGCGAAAAGCGCATTGGTGTATACAGGCTGCATTAAGCGAAACAAAACGACATATTCGAACGAACACACGTAAACTATTTGAATCTTTACTATGTCATTTAAAGGAAGAAATTGTTTTAAATTTTTTTTTGGTTTGTTTCATCTATATCACAGGAAAATAAGACAATATTATATATTCGAATTACTCCGCCTTTTAAGGCGAGTTTCCTTTAATTCATCTAGTTTACGTGTTTACGCGAAGACTCCAAAAGATTTCTCGAAAAAGTTTTATTGATAAAAAGTCGGTATAATCACTGAATAATATAAATATAAAAAAGAATGCAACATTCAAAGGGCGGCGTCCTATTTTTTATCAATAAAAAAATTTAGTCAGAATGTTAAAATTGCGTCTGATTATTTTTGTTTTAAAATGCAAAATTAATCACTTAAGCATATGAAACAAAAATATTGCACCCATTTCTAACATTCTTTCTTATTCCTCGATGGCTCTGGTTTAATATTCATAGTAATTCTATTTGGAAACATAAGTTGACAAAAAAGTAACAATCCCTTTTTAGGTATATATTTTTAGGTTACATTTTATGAATATTTAACCAGAACCGTTCAAGATGAACTAATAACATTGCTTTGAATAACGGTCAACTGAACAGCAAAAATTTTTTTTTACAAAAATTTCATTCTTAAAAAAACACAAAAACATTTAAATAGGAAAATCGAACGACATATCACTTTTAGTTATTAAGTTTACTATAAAATTACATTGTGTAGAATCCTAGACATTAAATTAATAATAAAAAAAACTGAATGTTCGAAAATTTTATCAGTACTTATGAATGTTGTTTCATCAATATTAATGATAAATTAATTACGGCGATTATTTCGAGTCGCGTCTTATTATTAGAAAAGTTTAATGTGTTTAATCCTTAACATAAAAATTAGATGTAATTAATTATTAAAAATAATAAGGTCTTCAAAGATTGAAACAAAGACATATCTTACTGGCTGAGGCATTTATATAGTTTTAATAATATTGATGTTAAATCTAAATAATATATTTAAAGTCTATAATAACAGTATATGAAACATATCATTACATTAGACTAAGCTACCCTCTGATTAATAAGTGTAAGTAAGTTTGATTTTTGCTTGATTTTTTAAATAATAGTAATAACCTATAACTATGTATGCTAGGTGCCTAGGTAAAGACATATCACTATTTAAAAAATACTAATTAATGATAAATACTTATTACAATTTTTTTATGCTAATTGTAACTTTGGACTTGACATTTCACAATACTCCGTTATTTTTAAAATTAGCCTAAGAACTGTGATGTGGATAATATTTTCTGATAATATTGTTATTGAACGACTTGTCATATTTTAAATATTAATTAATACTATATAGAAAAAAAATAAACATATATTTTCTGTCCGAAAAATGCCGTTAAAGATATCAAATATCTTCTATTTAAACTTATTTTACGAAATAAATTACAATAATTTTTTTTCACTTTTTTATTTCTCTATAGGGATGGCCTAATGTGTAGAAATTGGCTTCATAGATGAAATAATATTAGTGGCATCGATAAAATAATCGGCATTAAAAGCGTTATCAACCTTATGTATGTTGTTAGTAGACATATGGAATACAATGTTGTATGTACTATGTATTTATGTGTTAAAAATTATATAAATTATGTCAGCAGTGTAGTTATTATTTCGAAATTTCGACGGGATAAAAAACGTAACATAATGTAAATTTTGGTGCTCATACTACAGGTTCTGTACCCTTAACACGAACCATTTTCGAATTCGTAACGTTTGCGAGTCCGAAATGTCATTGTCAAATGTGTACTGATTTTTAGCTCTCGTTACGTACTTTGTGGCGCTGCTATGCAAGTTTCCATACAAAATTTGACATTGTAAATATATTAAAAAATATAATATAAAACTATAACGTTAGTATCCTCTCTAAATATAACTATTTTTTTTTTCTCTACCGATTAAATTGCCTACACTTTATATAATTGAAACCTGTGTTGTCTTTGCGTGCATACTTTCAGAAGAACAATAATAAAAGCTCAAGGAAGAAGTGATATTCGGATAAAATATTATTTTTTTATCTGGTAATTACCGAGCAATCTCTCCCTTACCGTGTCTCTCTCACTACGGGATATTGGCGAAATTTCTGTGTGAAAGGGAAACAGCCACAGAACAAAAAAAAAATTTGACATTGACATTTCGCACTCGCAAACAATTCGAATTCTATAATGGTTTGTGCTAGGGGTACTGCATTACTAATGTAGTAATTTTAATAACTTGGTGCTTTCATTATTATTAATCATATTACAATCAAAGATGAGGAAATCGGTCATGTAGCGCAAGGTTGATTCCAGGCCAAATTGTGAATATTAGAATAGCACCACTATAAACACAATTAACAATTATTTAGTTCAATTTACCGTGTTAAATCAAATATCAATAATTTCATACCTATCACTATTTAAAAATTTAGTTCCTTTTACCGTGTTCAATAAATATCAATAATTTCATACCTATCCTAAGCAAATAATAAAAAAAATACTAAGCGTTCGGAGAATTGATTTCCAATAAAAAAAATCGAAAGATCTCGATGGTGCAAATGTATAGCGCGTTCGGCCTGTAATCTTGAATGTTGAGCAACTTTTGCAATGGTCGGTCATTAGGTGAGGGACCAAAAAGATTTTATCACAGAAGAGCTCATTGCTTCTTAAGGCACGTTGAGCCGCTGTTCCCGGCTGCATCTGCAGTTAGCACTCATCAATACACGATGCATTGGGCCCGTATGTACTACGTACGTAGGTCATCGCCCAATCTCCCTGTTCCATCCTTCATTCATAGGGAATACCTGTGCCTCAGTAGTGGGGACATTAATAGGCTAATTATAATGATGATGATAAATTTCCGACGGTAAAAAATATAGTAGTTTAAAATATAATTTCAATTGATATTATAAATGCAACAATACATAGACAAAATAAAAGCCAATTAAGAACTTAAAGTTTATTTATCAATATAAATTGGATTAAATTAATACAAAGTAAAGCTTAATTATAATTATTCCCTCATTAAAAATACAAAAGTTGTGGTTTTTCGCTTTATTAATAATGTAAGTATCTAATGTTTGCGTGCAGTATTCTGTAAGTTGGATGTTACTTTCCTAGACGGGCGCTCCAATTCTGGTTGAATTGGACTGAGGCATCCATTGGACGCCCATTAAGTCGTCAGTAAATTCCATCCCTAACGATCATGATAAACAACGAATGGCGACTAAAAGTCATCAGTCTAACCATTACATGACTAGTTATCCATCAGTAATGACCTTGATCTCCAGAAAAGCAAAACCTATCGTCCAATGGCCGCCTAATACGCAGCGCACACCGAGAGAGGTGCGACAAAGATACTGAAAAAGCTAACAATTTCAGTTTAACTCTGAAGCCGGGTCTCCAGCGCGAGTGTTGCTATACACAATCAACAAAAACATATTATCAACATTCAACAAATCCGTCTACAGAAAACTTTGTTTCACTATACATATTTGTTTGCATCTCGAACGTTAGAGTTCTCATACTTTTGGCAACAAAGCACGACACGGCCTCACCCGCGACAGCACAGATCGTGGGACAGCACCTTTAGAGAGGGCAGATCGGATTTCCAGAGCGTAGGTTATTTACCTAGATAATTCTTACTCCTTCGCTAACATTAACATCAGCAATTCGTAGCAATGCAGTCTCATGTTGATATAAATAATCCAGCCGATTTATCAATTAAGTACCTTAATAAAGAAAGGCATACTTTAAACTAGATAATAATGTTAACGTTACTTGTTATCAATACCAATATATCTCAGCGACTCGAAATACTTAAGCATTACTTAAATTATATCCTCCGTAAGTGTTCAAAGTCCTCATCCGTAATAAGGGTAAGGGGGGTAAGGTGGGTATTGGGGGTAAAACACTGGCGGTGGGGGAGGCGGCAAGGGTCTGTAGAACCCGCCGAAACCAAATCCTCCATACACCCTGGGTCCGTAGCCAAACGGTATGAAGTGAGCTTCTGAAATCTGAAAGAGAGAATTAATATTTTACTTTAAACTAGCGGCCGCCCGCTACTTCGTACGCGTGGAGTTAGTTATTTACACATACTTTTTAACCCCAAAAGGGGGTTTATTTCTAAAGATACATAATTAGTACACCTCTACACCATCTGTAGAGCATACATATTAAATTTCAAGTCTCTTACTTCATAATCATAGGACTTTCATACAAACTTCCAACCCCCGTATTACCCCTTTGGGGGTAGAGGTGACGAAACTCCTTTCGTGATAATATGTAGCCTATATGTTGACCCGAATTCTTAATAATATTCGTGCCAAGTAAATACATGCAGTACTTTTTGAGTTTATCCCGGACTTACATACAGACAAACAGACAAAAATTCTAAAAACTATATTTTTGGTTTCAGTATCGATTGTAAATCACACCACAAGTATTCTTTTAAAACAATGTTCAATGTACAGTTTGACTTTCCTATCATTTTATTATATGTATAGATAGATATCTTTGTACCTACTGTATTGAAAATTTTATTTGAATGTTAAAGTGTAAGAGGCAGATTCAGATAGAATAAATGGCCTCATCTTTTTGTTATCCTTCTACGATAAAGGAAAAAAATTACATCGAAACTGAAGTGAGGGCAATGAATTTTCATTCCCTTTTGCCTCCGGTGGGATTTTTCGCAGGGGCGACTGCGATAAAGGCTTTTAAAACACATTTAGTGCACAGAGGAATGTGCGACTTTAAACAATTGGAGATATTAAGACCGAGTATAGTAATCCAATATTTTTAAATATAATTAAATGCATTAAAATAAAAAAAAACATAACACACACAACGAGTTTTTGACAAAGGAAATAAATAAAAAGGTCGACTTTCATCCAATAGGCAACCGCCAGTGTTACTTTAATATCTATACATATAATAAAATGGTAGGAAAGTC